ACTACAGGCCCTTTAACATGATGAATTTTATGGTATGTGAATTATATTTCAATAAAGTTGTTATACAATGTATGTGGCATATGTCACAGATGGCAAGTATAAATTTTTATGGCAAAAACATATGATCCCTGTGGCAGGACAGAAGGAGATAAGATTGGAGAGAGGTTTGGGGCCAAATCACACAGAAGGTCTTAAAAACCATGCTAGGAATTGTGAGTTTTATTCTTGGTTTCCTAATGCCTGATTTCCTAGAGAGGCATTAGGAAACCATTGTTAAGTTTTTAAGCATGGGGATCTGTGTGACTCAATTGATTTTAGTATATGAATCTGCTGACAAGCTGGAAGATGGATTAGCTGTCAAAGAAAGTGGGAGTAGAGAGAAAAGTTAGGGTCTTGGAGTAACTCAGACCAAAGAATTGAAACTAGGGAAGCAACAGTGGGATTGAAAGGAGAATGTTAGTGATTGGACATTGAAGATTAAGGGAACAAGAAGAATCAAATCCCCAGATTTCTCATTTTTCATATTTATAGAACAAGGGTACTGTATTGGTCTCCTTCGCATTCAGTAAGCAAGATTGTATCATCTATGTATCATAAAAAAAAAAAAAAAAAACCTCACTGCTGTAGAGTCATTCGACTCATAGCGACCCCTCCTTGGGTTTCCAAGGTGGTATCTCTACGAAAGTATATTGCCCAGTTTTCCTTTTGAGGAGTGGCTGATGGGTTTGAATGGCTAGCCTTCTGGTTAGCAGTCAAATGCCTTAGGCACTCTGCCACCAGAGCTCCCAAGAGTGTTAATGATTCTTCCTCCCATCCTGATACTGTGTTCTTCTTCATATAGTCCAGCTCCTCGGATTATTTGCTAAGCACATACTTTGAATAAGTATCGTGAAAGGATACATCCTTGGCATGTACCTTTCCTGATTTTAAATGACATAGGAATAGGGAGACAACTTTATTTTCTCTGAAATAACAATTTAGCTAGCATATTTTGTTGACTAATCATGTATCCATTGTGCCTGATTTGAAGTCTCACTTCTTCATATACTAAGTGTTTTACATGAGTGTGTGTGTATTTGCCTGAACGTTTCTTCCCCAAGAGCATCCTATGAGTCCTGAAATTCCCAGCAAGAGCTTTCTGTTACCTTACTGTTCTAGAATACTTTTAGGTATAGTGTTTAAACATAGTATTGTATTCAAAGATCTTATCCATTGCTTGCTCTTACTTTAATTCTTGAGAATTGAAGATCCCCAAATTATTTGCCCTATCAGAGTAATTTCATTATCAGCCAAAGATTTCTTCTTTAAGTCAGCTCACAACTTGCCAGGATAAAGGCAAATGTTAAGAGGGTTAAACATTGTCATGCTTAAGAATTTAGAGTGGTTTACTGTGGGCTTGGGACCATAGTCACAGGGAACATCAAGCTCAATTGGCATAACATACTACCCAAAACATTGTTCTACCGCCTACTTTGGTGAGTAGCAACTAGGATCTTAAAAGCTTGCAAGCAGCCATCTAGATACAATGACGAGTGTTTCCTCATCCAGAGCAAAGAAGAATTAAGAAAACTAAAGATTCATGGAAACAATTAGTCCTCATGACTGGTACACCATGTGATCCGCAGCCTATATGACTATGAGACCAGAACTAGATGGTGCCGTGCCTGGCTACCACTGTCAACCACTCGGGGATCTCTGGAGGAGATCCTGGATAGAGAGGAA